ATGTATATAATATTCTTAAAGAAATTAACAGTGATTACCAAAACTTAAACAAAAAAGAACAATTTAAACTTGTACTACAGTCACCAAATACAAACCATCTTATCACTCTCTGCAAATATTTAGTTAAATATAAACAAGACTAATTCTTTTATTTTGTCATGTTCTTTTATATTTTATACATATTCTGTCTGTGCTGCATACAGATATACTTACATATCACAGTATTTTAATATTTCTTATATTATTAATAATAGTCTGTAGTATTTTTGTCGTTCATTAATTTTGAGTTCTTTTTTAAATAAATTGTTACATTTCATGTACTTTTATTATTTACTTTATTAATCTGAAAACCTAAAAAGATATGTTAACTCTTTCTTTACGGTATTAATAAAGCATTAATCTAATCTATTCTATTCTATTCTATTCTATTCCATTCTATTCTATTCTATTCTATTCTATATAGCTCTTGCTTCTTAATATTCATTCTCAGTTTTATGTTCGTGTTTCATTTCTTCCACGTGGTTCGGCGATGTTTTTGTTCCTACAAAGATAATGGAATAGTCCAACTACGCCATCCCATGCGTCCTCACATCAAAGGCATACCCCGTCCGGTGTTTTGAAAATCGGTTAATAAGTTCTCAAAAAAGTGTCTGGGGTGTTGCGAAATCACTCCATCGGTAACTATATACCAGGCGTGGGGTTGGGTGTATGCAATTATTTTGCGCCTGCTGTAAAACATTGTAATAACATTATTTATTAAATCATAATATTTTTTGGGGCAAGATAAAAATGGTCACACGTAACAAAATAAATTGCTCATAAATTCATCACTTTTGCCACTGGTTCCAAAATTGTTAATATGAATTTCTGCTTTGTTAAATAAATGTAGTCCATGTGCCCTGTATGCTGGGTAATTCATAACAGAGTGTTTTTTTTTTTTTTTTATCTTCAACTTTGTTTTGTGTGTGGCTTATGGACTGCTCTATTTCAATTTTAATATCATTTTCTGTGATACCGTTTTGTGCTAGTTTGTGAAACAAGCCTTGATCCCAAACTGAATCAAAGGCTTTTTTAAAGTCAAGAAAACATGCACAAACTTTTCCACCTTTTTCCAGGTTTTTTGCAAGAAATCGTTTCATGGAACTACCTTCCATGTGCGTACGTACAAAAAGTTGCATGTTTGCGCCCTCACTAGTCCAAAATATACCTGTGCTAGTTTGCTGACCTCAGATGCACGCACGACCTCAGTATAAACCGCAATAATTTACAATAGGCGATCAACTTTCATTGCGCATCTATTTTATTGAGGCTCACACGTTGTCATAAATGACCGTAACTAGGGGCAAACCATATGTTATGTGACTGCTAATTGGGGTAAGACGGGAGAAGAGGGAGACGAAATCATGTTACTATTATCAGAGTTCATTACGTATTGTTAACTTCTGCGTAGATTTGCCATTGCTATTAATATTTGGAAAAATAATAAAAAAATTAAAGTAGGGCTGCTTTGAAATGTGAATATAAACGTTCAGCTGATCTTAATTTCCGATAATTTCCTTTTAAGGAATCAGCCAATCAGAGCCCACCATTTGGTATATTCGACACGAGCCGAATACCTTTACGAAGTTGTTTTCAAAATGGCGGGTGTTCTAGTGGCAAAACACTTCACCATTCAGGAAATATGCATTAACTTCGTGTCGAAACAGATGGAATAGTAAATGGTGCAAAGAAACGATCCGACGACAAACGGGCTTAGAGATCTGGGGAAATTCTAATATTCGAAGAGACGGTACTATGGATATTTGCGATGCATGCATCGATTTATATCACATCCTGCAGTCATGTGAGTACATACATACAAATCATTATCGAGTTCATTGCTTCACGAATTTGTAGTTTCATTCAAAGTAAAACACACCATTGCCGTTGCACGGGCACAATTGATAAGACGTTTAATTTGACAATTGTGTAATTTGCACAATGCCTGCCAAAATGAGGTCGCAACTGCCAGTCAACTCTGAGAATAATGACAAGATCTTGTCTCTCAGTGCCGACTAATTTTATTTTTTGCATCCCAAAAATATATGTGAGATGTATTTTATCAAAAAAATGTATTTTACGGATTAATGTATACCTTTTCTCCATACTATATATCCACCACCATGTCGCCACACCCCCATATTGTTAATATGTATAATCTGATAAATATAATATTGCTTGTTGATTTCGTTGAAAAGTCGTTTAGTAAGTATATTAAAAATAGGACTTGACTTTTATAAGGCACTTTTCCAAGAAATGTAGATCATCTCCAAGCAAGGGGCAATTCTCCCAATTAGTATCCATTACAGTGCTTTGTATTCTTGACAAGTCTACCAATAAATGTTCCATATATGAACAGATTGGGTTAATGTATTTGGAAGAATATCTCCAAATCAGAGAAGACTTGTACCCTATTTTTGGCATTATTTATTTTTTGAAAATCTGTATACCTCTCTTGAAATGAACTCAAAACTGAATTGTTCTAAATGCACACAAACTTGATAAATTTCGCAGCCTTGGATTGTCCATAAATGCCCCTGTATGGAGGGATCAACATTTGTCGCAATATTTGAAGATTTTATTTTTTAGGAAAAGTTCTTTGCTGTTGTAGGTCATATAGAAGCCCTAAGGCCGTAATATATCAGAGCTATAGGCCCCTCCTTCCAGGGTCAGGAGCGATAGGATATAGTCATATTGTAAATCGAGCCTGGATGACTAACTATCTTTCATTTTCAACATCAGATGCTATTTTCCCTGTAATATCATCACCCAATACTGATTTACTAATATGATGAGGTATAATATGTTTTATGTTGCAAAAAGTTTGTTGCCAGCCAGATTTTTTTGGATTTCCAAATGGCGACCTAGACTGGTAATCATATCTAGTTAACATCACCTGCTGAAAGCCTTCATTGCCAAAATGTGTTTAGCAAGCCTGCAAATATAATTTGTTGATGTATTGCCAGACTTGGTTACATAATCCTCTTACTAATTGTATAGTTTCTTTAATTTCTATCATAGTTGATGAGGAAAATAGGAAGGAAAACAATCATTTGAGCAAAAAGGAAATTGTTACTCTTCTGCTGTTTATCCAGAGTTGGCCGCAAAGGTACGTTTATGCTTATGTCATTTTGTATCATCCGTCAGTCATGATTTGGTTGATTTTATCAAGGCTTTATACGACTCCTATGTATACATAATACATCCTTTGCATATATGCATGGATGTACTAACACAGGATAAACGAATGGACTATATTTTGGGGGATCTTATCAGCTTTGCCATTGATTAATTTAATATACACAGTTTACTTACATTACACTAATGATCATCATAAGCATGTAGCAAAGGCATAGATGTTGTTAGGAATTTTATGTGATCTTCTGTGAATGACAAAAATAAATGTCATTTCGATACCGTTGTTAGAAAAAAATTGATACCAGCACAAAACGTCTATCAACTTCATTGATTACATCAGAAATTTGGATGAAAAAGAGAAAACAGATCAACAAAAAATACTCTAAATTGCAGCATTTGTTGTGTATAAAGATAGGTAAAAATATCATATGATAAATTTTTTTTTTAAAGAACGAAGAACAACATTAGGTAACTTTTACCTAACTGATTTATTTCTGGTGTTTGAAAGGTCATGTAATTAAAACGTGTGGCGAATATCAAAAATTATTTTTTGTCTCATGTATGCGTCAACCATGACAAGTCGCATCCAGTTGTTTTTGTGTGATTTTTATCTGTATGTTTATTGGTAAGATGAGGATTTGCAGAATAATTATATTATAACATAATATTATTAATTATAACATTTAAACACATTATAACATTCTGTGTTAATACGACCATGATATATGCAAGGGTATTTAAAGAAATGTACGTTTGTCAGGTGATTTTGTGATCATCTCGCAATTTTCATGACTCTTTTTCAGTTCTCATGAGATCATCATCGTTAATCCGACCATATCCTAATCTTATAAATCCTTGATATCAGGTTTCACAATAGAATAAAATGGATTCAATTTATAACATCAATACTAGACTGAAACAATTATTTGAAACATGACCTAAATTTTATATAGTTGTTGTTACTTGAGAAGATTTTCACAAATATATAAAGTTACAATATTATAGCTCGTGTTCAAGATTGTCATGTTTATTGGTCATCACGTGATTCATGTTGTGTTTATTTATTCAGCATATTAAAACATATAGTTACCTCATTGTTGTCATTATTCGGTTTTAATGACTCGCAGGAGTTATTGACCTCTACTGTGCCCTAGTCAATAATTCCATCTTTCTGCCATTAAAAATTGAATATTGACCGCAGTTCCACAAAGAGAACTATTTGCTAAGTAATCCACCATAAAAATCTATTTATGAGCATTATAATATTTTGATAGTTAGTGTTAGAAATCGTTTTCATTGATATTTCTACAACCATACAACTATCACATTCTTGTGTCCCTTGAGGTGGCGATGCACCCTGATTTATAGAAATTTTAAACAATAAATTACACTACTAACAAATACGTTAATTTTGTCATGTTGTATACCATATGAAAGCTTATTTTGCCAGCTTTTCAACAGTATGATGCATTTTTTCGTGGTTGCTAACGGTATCGAAAATGGGTTGAAAATGTCCGTTTTTGGTTAAATTGTGTTTAAAACTATTTAACTTCTGAGCGCATAGGTTTAACGAATGGCAGTTTGACTAGTTTAAAATATATGTTCACTAGGATTATACCGTACTTCCCCGAGTATAAGCCCCTCCCCGAGTATAAGCCCCACCCTGTTTTCAGACATTTAACAAGTTGAGGGCATCCCAGAGTATAAGCCCAGGGGGTTTTTACTGAGTGTCAACGACATTTATTAAAATATGCAAGTAAAAAGTGTATTTCATTGCATAATAATCATGATTCGTACGGTAGTTTGGTTCCTGCTTTTACGAGAAAACTCCATTAATTTCAGAGTGCATGGCCGGCGAATGTACGGAACATGGTTCGCACCTTTTCTATTCTGTTATTTACTCACGATGAATCCTGATGTTGCAATACTGAAGTAATTAATTTCTATTCCTTTTGAGTAGTGGTTTTAGAAATGCCAAAAATGGTCATTGAACATCGTTTTACTATTCCGAATAATCGTGTCCATTGAGACCTTCGTGAATGAGCAAACTATTCTTCAACATGACTTGTTCGCGACCGTGACGTTTAAATACTTCCTCCACCTTCAGTTTACTTTTCGAAAATTGCAAATCAACAGCTTTAGGGAAAAAAATTTTTTTTCGAAATCAGATCGCATTTTAACATCGCGGTAATTCACTTCCGCATTGCGGTGAACAAATTTCTTTGTCAATAATCGGAAAACTTCGTCTGTACGACACAGCATTTTGATTGGTTAACGAAAGACATGACCTGTTAGGTCAAAGGAAGTTGTTCAGGTCAAATCATGATGAAAAACACCATGGCGGAAATTGCTTTGTATCGAGAGTGTGCGAGCGATCAAAAACATTCCACAACGAAGATAATGATACAGATCTTGCCTTCAACAGTTTTCCCACAGACCCTACCCATTTTTGCACCGTAAATTCAGACGGTATGTAAACCGTACTGTAATAAAATGTGTGTATTTTAATGAACATATTTGTTTTTTCATTGTAAAAAGTGTTGTGGAAATCAAAAAGACGTAATATTTCTCCAAGACCGGCACTGTGAAAGAAAAATATAATTTTGATGATTTTTCGAGGTTGGGAAGAGGGTTACAATTTTAAACCCCTCAAAAAATTATCTTTTCTGAGGTGGTCCTCAAGTATAAGCCCACTCCCTAATTTAAGTACGGTAGAAAAAAAGTTTATAGTATTTCTATTTAATAGTTTTTTCACAATGCCTTCTAAAAGTGATGCGTAATTAACGCTATTGCCGATTGACAATGCGGTTACTTTTTTTCTTCTCGAAACAATAAATCCACACGATACACTTTGAATGTGCCAGACCGTAACTATTGTTCCTGAAAATTTCAAAGGAAATGACAAAATAGTCTGGGAGCTAAATAGTTTTGAAGGACCTGGTTGAGGTCGAAATTGAAGTTGAGATAATTGCCATTTTGTTTAAATTTACGCGAAACCACGAATGTCGCTTCGCTTCCTTGTGGACACTGTCTAAACACCATGATCGAGTACCACAACTGGAACAACATTGTTTTAAAAAAAAAATTAAATCTGCACAAATCTATTTGTGTGAGTGTTTTGTTCTACAAAACGAAACTGTCTGTGGTCCCGCTATGTTTACAAAGTCAACAGTGGATGGTGCACATGTATGCAAATTACCAATCAACTGATTGTTCCTAAATCCGACTCGCCAGGGGCTTGGGGTAAAATCCGACTCGCAGATGTCATAATAAAAATAAAATAACGTTAATAGACTGTGCCAAAGTATACTATGCATCACAATAGTATTGTCTCCGTAATTTCTTCTGAGAGCTGACAGAAATTCTTGTTCGGTCGTCTCCTCGCTATTTGAAGCTAAAATGGTGCTGTGGTTTTTGTATGGGGGAGCGGAAATTGGTGGCGGAAGTCCAACAAAATTTTTTTTTTATAATCTTGAAGTGTTTTCCATTTTGTTTTGTTGAAGTCATCTCCACAGCTCGACGTTCAAACATCTGAACTCGACTAAACTCCCCCGCCTTGTCGCATCTTTTCATGCAGGGTCAAAGTTTCTTTCCCACAGAGTGCACAGGTCACAGCTTTCTCCAAGCATTCTTCAGGGACATTAGGTCGACTATTCTCAGGACTTAAGAATCTTCTTCCATTATATTGTCATTACGGCCCACTTTTTTCGTCGAGGCATATCTGTTTCTTCTGTTGTACAGATGTATGATCCCGTGTCTGTTTCATACTACGAGTTGGACTCTGTTGGGGAGCTGTCACTTTCGGTACAGTATGCACTAAAAATCGTGTCTTCTCTTTGGTTATGATAGGAACTATGATCTGATTCCTTCAATAACATTCTTTTTTTCCTCTAAAATAGTGTCTGGCTTTCTTTTTTCACACCTGTTCTTTTTTTTACGCAGTGTGGCATTGTTGTATATAATAAATAAATCTCGGGATATAAAATAGCTGATGTATTGCGTATGAACAGCGTTTGTGAAACCATCAAGGTAGCTGCATGGAGAAAGAAGTACTCAGGAAACGAAACTGGTCTTTCCTAAACATGATTTGTATACTACAGTTAAACTCCAGTGATCAATCAACATTAATTAGGCAAGATTTATGCAAATTAAACAGTTAAACCAAGACCGTGGCACATGAGTTTGTTTTTAATAATTTTAAACCTAGTTTATAAGGTGTTCTTCCACAATAGAATTTTGAAATTTTCACTCAAGAACAAGGACGTTTTCTGCTATATAAAAAGTTAAAAAAGTGAAATTCCACCTTTAAATGCATTTTTCCCTGCAACGCCACCTTAATTAACGTTACCTTTATGCCTTAGCCCTTTCAGTTGGTGTCAATCAGTAAACTATCACTTGCCCTCTGTTTATTATTTTTCCAGGCAATGTGGCTGCTGTTTTCGTGATATAAGAAATTTTGACCGGGTTAACAATTTAGTTCAGTTGCTGCTAAGGTTTGCCATTGATGCAGTTGCATCATTATCATTGCCTGAAGAAAATAAAAAACTCTCTAAGAATGATAATGAAATTGACGAAGACTGTAAAGAGGAAAAAGAAGAGGAAGAAGAGATAGATGAGTCTGAGTTATGGACGATGGATGAAAAAGATAAACTTTTACATTGTGTTTCTAAAGTGTTTCAGCTGAACTTCTTTCTGTATTCTGCTCATAAACAAAATTTCCATGCTGGCATGGAGGTAAGATTTTTTTCGTTGTGTTGCATATAAATGTGTTGTTATTTATATGGTAGCCAATGTGTTGAACTAGGAATTTGTGATGTTCTTTGTATATAATGGCTTTTGCGTAATAATACTAGCAGGCTATTACCAAGACCAGTTAACAATGTCAACAGAAAATCCCCATTGTAAAAACTATTAAATCCAACAGACACTTTGTTGCACATGCACAATCAATTTTATATGGGTTGTTTTCTAGCATTTTTAAAACTGTTATTTGTTAGATAACCTAAAATTTTATAATAATACTTTCAAACTTCACAAATACATCACATATCTTGGGGTGGCATATTTACATTCATTTGTTTCATGATTTGATTCACGATGGCCGAATGGTGTCCATTTTTGTGCTAAGAATTCATTTCTGCTGTTCTAGGACCAGATCATTCACTTTGTATGCAAAAACTGGCCAAACGTACAATGTGACCTCACTTTATCCTATAGCCTAAGTGAACATTTGTAATGTCATTTCATGTATCTGAGTTGATCACTGTTTCATTTGATGTTCCATAGTACAGTATTTGTATTGATATTTTAATAAATCCTCTTCATAACTCACAGGACATTTCACCTCATGAAGCTGAAGCACTAGGCAACTATTGTGATATGAATGTGAGTATCATTTATACTACATTGTTGGTTTGTATAGTTCATATTGGATTACTATTGTAATTATATTTAAACAAATAATTGATTCAATCACACATGCTGGATATATTCCATGAACTGATGTTACTTTTCTGATATTCTATTTAGGATATGGAAGTACCGTTGTATTTGCTGCGTAATGTGTGTTTTTTCTGTGATAGCAATGGTATGACTGCCATACAAGCTTGTTTTGAACGATCTGTTCCTGAGACACTGCCATTCAATGTTGCATTTGCACTTATCAGTGTTGTAGCTAATGTAAGTACTTAACCTTGTCATTCATATATACTTTGTATTACTGTATATGCAAATTACACATCTACTGGCACTGATCTACAGAGGCTTTCAGAAGGTTATGGGTTAAAGGTCTGCATGGTTATCCACTGTGACATTGCAGGAAAGAGGGAGAGGGGTAGTTAATAAGAAGCCAAATATTTGAACGCAATTATGACCTTACAGTGATTACTATGCTGCTATTTTCTGATGGAAGTTTTAACATTGAACATATTACACACATGACCATTACATAAACATTGATTCTCTTAAACCGCGACTTCTGGTATATAAAAGGAACAATGGCTGCCAGTTTTCAGTATGCAAATGACACTCAAGCGTGAAATATCTCTTCTGGGTGCTCCCCAAAATCACTCTTTTCAACAATCATGACGCCTGTGGTGCGTTATTTTCATGTCCCACACAACCATGAATATATCCGCAATACAATTTCGATGTTAATTCACAAGTTCAGGATGATATCAGTATGATTCCTGCGTAAAAGCAACAGAAAAGCAATTTTAAAAGTCCGAAGTGTCTCGAAATAAATAAATTGAAAGATCCCGCAAAAAATGTCAAGTACCCTGAAATATATCCCAGCAATGAAATGATTGTTGGCTGACAACATTGTGTAAAATAGGTATGCATGTCCGTGTTTTGTAACATACAAGTCGCACATATATTCAAGTATTTTTGGTGTCTGGGATTGTGGAACCGCGCTTTAACCATAAATGCAAATTAAATCAATCCTGTGTATAGGCGAGTATAGACGACAGTTGCTATATTCCACCATCATTGCATTGATGCATGTATTTCCTGATGCATTTGTACAATGGGAAGTGCTGTGATCATGATGACTTTCTTATTATAAATAGATACCTACTGTTGGCGTGTCCCATTATAATTCATCATTAATCTCTATCTGATTTTTTGTAGCTTCGTATTTGGTTGCATGCTCATGCCACAATGCAATATGTGTCTCCTCTAAGAAGTCAAGTTATCCAGTAAGCATTCATACTTGTTTTAAATTTGTCTGCAACAATTGTAGATTATATCAAAGTAGAAGTCTACTCATAAATGCAAACATCACCCTGAATTTATTCATTTTCTGGCAATATTGGCTTTAATAAAATTTGGGTTCACTTTGGGTTTCATTTTCGAAAAAAAATTGTTGTTCTGTTTTCGTAGATAGTGGCTATTTAGTTCCTGGGGCAGTGATGTTATGTCATATCTCAAATTGTAGGCTGGAGACCAATAAACATTGCCATGTGATTTATGATGAATTTTCTGAAAAATTATGTGTAGTCTTCAACATGGAGTCCAAATTTGGCTTCTATGACTCCAAAAGTCCTAAAACATGCTTTCGTGTCAGCAGTTATATTATGGATACTCTACCTGCAGTGTAGTTTTATAACAATGCACATTCATTATTGTGTTCACCTTGAACCACTATGTGGGTGTGGCACCTTTCATAAATAAAAAGTCCTTGTAAAGTTAGGGTCCTACTATTTAACGCCCGGACACGCGAGGGAGTGTCCGGGCACGCGCGGAGGCGAACAGGGGGGAATACCTAACGCGCGGGGCAGCGGCAGCAATCCTTGTACTGTATAATATTCGTTTATGCTCATAATTTGAACTGGGGTGGCGAATTCGAGCAGCTATCCACACTTTTTATGATCGACGCCCGGGCATTCCGGCGAGTCGAGTCCGCCATGTTGTTTACTAATTTTGGTTAGCGTTTAACAATAGGACAATACAATTCGATCCATGGGGGTGACAGTCCTACGAATGTGCCGACATTGTCGAAGGACAAGGACAGGAAAAGTTTGTGCAAGTGTGGCGAGACTCCCGTAGTTACGCGGAAATTATTTACCTCATGTGAAAAAAAAAGCATTTTCGAGCATACGTATCGAGACCAAACATAATTTGTCGATAATCGAGTCTTGCAAGAAAAAGTGAGATTGTCGCAAAATGTAGCAAACGTTTTCAAAACAGTGCCGTGCCGCTAAGAAAGTCTCGCTTTGTTTGCGCCCACTGTAAAACATGTATAGTAAACAAACCGCCCTTTTAGAAAATATTTTCATTAAAAATAAGTACAAGTCAACTAAAACGAAAATTAAAACATGTATAGTAAATAGACAGACACCCCGCCCTTGTGGAAAATATTTTTATTCAAAATTATTCAAAGTACAAGTCAACTAAAACGAAAATTAAAACATGTATAGTAAATAGACAGACACCCCGCCCTTGTGGAAAATATTTTTATTCAAAATTATTCAAAGTACAAGTCAACTAAAACGAAAATTAAAACATGTATAGTAAATAGACAGACACCCCGCCCTTGTGGAAAATATTTTTATTCAAAATCATTCAAAGTACAAGTCAACTAAAACGAAAATTAAAACATGTATAGTAAATAGACAGACAGGTTTGGAAAAGATCGATCACGGGGCGTGTATACAGAAAACTACTGGTATGTAGCTCGCCAACTGGGCTTGGGATCTCTCCATCGCGTCAAGTGGTCATTCAGTCGCAAACGTGAATTCGTACAGCGGGCGATGAACTAAACTTGACCTTTCGATGTGTCGCTTCCAAGGCGTTGTGATACTCTCTTTATTACTACCTATATTTAATAAAAGTGGGAACGTCATTAACGGCAGGTTACACTAGTGCACCGGAAGCATGTGTGCGAATAGAGGTCATAGCCATCGCATCGCGATTTTATAGTAGCTCACATACCGGACTCACACCCTGCTCGGGGATCATGTGGTCCGTGTTACGAGCCCGGCCGTTACAAATTGGTCTGGGATCAGCTTGTAAATAATCTACTGTAACTATACACTGCACAAACAAACTACAAGAGATTCCATAAAATAGAAATACAATTTTATTCAAATTTATTCAAACCCTTTTGTTACCTGTTATAGCTCCAAACAGAAACAACAAATGCTTTGTCTCTCGACGCAACTCGCCCTGGTTATGTAAATGTTTTCCCTTACCATCAGGCTCCAAGCCGGAACAAATGACAACCTTTTTTTTCTGAATTACATAAGTTCATCATATTTGGTATGTCATGTTTATTTGAAAAAAAAAACGTGCCTTGCTTGGGTTGAACCACAGTTACTTAAAAATAGTGACCATGGTTGAATTGAATTAGGGACAGTGTATGTTCCCCTCTTTGTTGTAGTTGTACAATAGAGTGTCAATCACAGCTGAATACGTGTTGCGACGTCAACTCTGAAATATGTGGACGAAACGTAATATATTCCGTATGTATACTGTGCACGAGATTGACCAAACTCTGTGTTTCGACAAGAGGTATAAACCAGGTTTACC